TGCGGTAAACATCCGGCTAGTGGATTGAAAAGACTTCATTTGACTGCCGTTTGATAAATATAGCATATCGGTAGGAAATAGTTGAATTTAGCAAAATCATTTGTTTTTAACATTTTTAATTTTAATCGTAAGATTAAATAATTTAGTATTAAGTTTACTAAAATATCAAAGATTTACGCAAATAATAAAAGGCTATCTTAATATTTATAAACACTGGCCGCTATAAACCGATGCGCTTGCCCGTAACAAAAAAAAACACGCTTACGCGAATTCCTAACAACGCAACTGCCATGAAACAATAGATTCGCCGGTACCTGAAATTATCACAAGTACCCACTTCGTTGTTTACTCCATTATTACACCACTCGGGCGGAACACTTTCTAACCACAACTAACATATGAAAATTAAAAAAAAAAACACAATTCAATTAATTCACAGCACTGGCACATAAGAAAAAAATATTTGAAAGTTTAAATTTGGAAGCGGGTTACGGCGCGCGCAATTCCCGCGCGATGCGGCGAGCGACTGAGCGCGTTGTGCGTGCGGATAACGCATGTGTATAAAGTTACAAGACTTGACTTTAATCGTATTACTTAGATGAAAGCATTTTCCACGAAGGTTTTGTTATTAATGTTACCAAGTACTATTATGTAAAGGATGTTTAGGATTAAAATCACCTTTGACATGATTTATGCAAAAGAGCACCAAGAAATCAATTTCTACAATTTAACTTTGCCAAATTATAACTAAGCCAAAAAAATCAGCAATATTGCCTGAACATATTTGTACATTTAGCTGTATAAAACATTAAATATTTTTCTTCATGTATTACAAGGGTACAGTTAGCATTTAGGACCTATTCAAAATGATACAGTTATAAATTTCGAGTTTCACTGGGTTTCGATATTACTAAATTCGGGTAGTATTACGAGTTAGTCAATAAGGCACAGGGATAATGTTTCACGTGCAGTATATGTAAAGTCGACTACTGCGGTTAATTAGAATGTACAGAGAAAGGATCTAATTTCATACACGATTACTATTACTTAAATTTAAACCGTGTCTGTTCATTTTATACACATGTTCTGACAGAAACAAATTGCATAAACGCCCAAGAGGTATAGATATCTACTGGGCGATGCTAGTTAGTTTCGCATTGTGAACATATATGGGTTAGAGTAGGAAAATGATCCCTTTTCGCGTTGCACATTGCACTCAAAACTGTTCTTTGTTGTCATTTTGTTTTTTAATCTAATTGGATTACTGCTATAAAGAAATCTGGCAGAGAAAGACCCTATACAGAATTATTTTGCAAAATAAACTAACATATTGCTTTAATAGTTTTTCGCTACTTTCCTATAAATCGATACAACTGATAGCTCCCGAGTTGTCACTCAAATCGAATGGAAGCAATTGTAAGATAAATTAAATAGAAAGTGTAATGACGGCAGAGAAAATACATTACACGTATTGCAATAATAATGTTAATGTATTTTTAAATCGTCGAGACAAACGATATTTCATACTTCTTTTGATATAAATAGTTGATGACTAGATAATAGACTTTTTTTTAATCGTTGGGGGAATCTTCAAAAAGATACCCTTCCCGGGGGGGGGGGGGAAGACAAGGTCATGTGAGGTTTATACCCACTAAAACCCCCTCGGTGGCCAGCTTCTAGTGCATTAGAGAAGGGTTCCGGGATCTCCGTGGAAGAGCACCCGTTCAATTTTTTAGAGTCGCGATGACAAGAATGCAATAACGATCGCCGAACTTCGAAAGATGGACTTTTTTAAGAAGAAGGTATTATATGATGGTTTTTAAAAGTGTCGGTTTAGAGCTTCAACCGCCCTGGTCGAGATATCTATGCCAACCTTTTTTTTACGAGAGCTGCGAACTTGGCTGGCTTACTATCCAGTGGTCTGAGATATCGCCCAAACACGTACTACCCTAACATCCTGTGTTTTGATGTCCATAATGCATAGGTACACTTTTATAGTTAGGATATAAAAAGAATTATAAACTGCATGTTAAAAGGTCACAGAGTAGTAAACACAGTAGGTGCAGGGGCCATCAGTATATTACTATCATTACCAGAGCATGCATACATCACGTAAGAAAGCGCATAACCAGCCGTACCGTTGCGCCTAGCTTCACCATCATTTTACAAAGCAAAAACTCAAGCAAAAGTATCATCATTCTATTTTCAGACACTGTCAGAACTGCCAACATTCAAACATTAAATCAGATAAAAAAAAACAAAATCAAATATCATATCAAATAGATATCAAACATCAAATATTTCGGATCTTGCTCGAGTTGCATTCCTAAACACGATGGAAAGATTGTAGGCCTTATACTTTTTATATAATAAAAGAGGGCAAACGAGCGGAGGGAACAGAGGTGGTCATCAACGCCCATGGACATCCGCATCATGAAAGGAACTATAAATATAACTATAAATAAATACTAGACATACTCAGAGTGTCTGCCAATTTCCTCAAATATGGTTACACTATCAATCTGCGCGATTTGCATTCACGCACTGAGCAAGTCGATTAAACGAATGCGATAGTTAACTGGCCGCTTACGATTACGTTCAGGATCTTGAACTCAATTTCTCTAGTAATTTGTTGCTCAAACCTCATAATACGCGCTTCAATGAACTTCTTATAATGTTACCGCGACTTGCTTCGGCATCGATGAATATATTTACTAGTATGTATTTTTACATAACAGTATCAAGAGAAATTAGTATTAATATTAAAACACTAGCTTTCGCCCACGACTACGTCCGCGTAGAATTTAAAAAAAAGAAAAGTGAGTAGCCTATGTGTTCATCCAGACTGTCCTCTACATCAATGCCAAATTTCATCGAGATCCGTTCAGCCGATTGGGCTGCAAACTTTAATAAACATACATCCATCCATCTAAACTTTCGCATTTATAAGATTAGTAAGATGTATTACGATAAATTGATGAATATTTCCTTGTTGCATTATTTCCTGCAAAATTTTTTGAAGCACACACGTTTTTATAATATTAAACGTAAAACTAAGAATGTTTTCTTGCCCTACTGAAGAGTAAAGAAAAAACTCATCGCGACACGACCCATCCCTCCGAGCGATTAGGTCGACGACCCTCTGAGGGTGTGCCCTAGTAATTAACGTGCGAGCCCTGGATTTAGGGTTGGTACTGTTGAATAATGACGTCACAAGTTAGTGAATGAACGATGCGAAGTTATTTTGTAAATAAATTTCGAACAGTTTTAAATAAATATCAACAATAGTATCGTGCTGATTGGTATGTTATGTTTCCTAATGATCAGTTTAGATGGATGGATGGATGTTTGTTAGAGTTTGTATCCTAACGGATGACGCTGAACGAACCTTGATGAAATTTGGCGTAGTTGTAGAGGATAGTCTGGAAGTACGGGTACATTGGCGAAAGCTATATAAGAAATACACACCTTACTATAACATTCTAATTATGGACAGAAGCGAAATTCAAAAATGGTTTTAATCCAAAGCAGTTAATTCAAAATTTGGCAGCCCTATTTTCCGGAACTAATTTTCATGTCCTAATTTACAGCATTTCCGGTTTTTTATGCGGCACCATTTACAGTCTTAATGTTACATTTACATAAATCAAGCATTTCATTTAATATGTTTTGTCGTTACATTTGATGAAAACTACTATATTTAGCATAATATCGCTATAGAAAGCACTATTTTATTTTAAGTATTATCGAACTATGCTATCTATACTAATATTATAAAGAGGAAAGATTTGTATTTTTGTATTATTGTATGTATTGAAATAACTCAAAACTACTGGGCCGATTTCAAAATTTTTTTCACTATCAGAAAGGTAATTTATCTGTGAGTAACATAGGCTACGTTTTTACTATTTTTTTATTTCATGCGGGCGAAGTCGCGAGCAACAGCAAGTATCTTGACAATATTTAACACCCCTAACTCCCAACGAAATATTATGTTCCAAATCTAACATTTTTTTTGTCAAAAAATAGTCAGCATTTAGGTACGTGATTTACTTCCAAAATAAACATTCCTGTAATTTATTAATGTGCCTTCTATATTTAATAAGCAGTAAATTCAGATTTGCCAAAACTTTGCTCATAAAAACTTTCAGACACTTTGTGCAATTGGCATGGAATCGAAAACAAAGAGTAGGGTGACAGCGGTATTAATTGGGGACAGCGCAGTTCCTTGTAAGTTGCTGAACATGGCGCAGTGTGCGCCACATCTATACTCTTACTTATGTAATAAAATTACTGAACCTAAATTATATTTATTTCAATCAAAATAAGTAATTTGAACTTATTTTTTTATAACAAAGACAATAAAAAAGACTGGAATTAGCATTAAACCGTCCACATTTCTTAATATGAAAAACACACGCACATGCACACAATCAAAACACAGTCAAAAACCATAGACATAGTAACACATAGACATGATCATACATGATCTGTCTAAATAAGTATAGCGTTTAGTTTAGCAAAGCTTTGACATGCCTTGTATTTAGGACACAGTCCTAGTTTATTTCATGGCAAGACATGACAAAAGTAAAAAAGATTGCAAAGCAAGAGTTTTTTGCTTTAGAATGAGTCGCTTAACCTATATACTTAAGTTGTAAATGCAGTTTTTATATGAAATTAGCTGTTGCCCGCGACTTCGTCCTCGCAATATTAAGACAATAAATAAACTTTTTAATAAAAAAACAAAACCGACTTCCAAACAAAATACACTAAAAACAAAACAAAATGCACTAAAAACAAAACAAAATATTCTCAAAAAAACAGTACACTAAAAAGTAATGAAATAATTACTTGAAAATAGTAAACCTACCTTATTGTAACTGTTATGTCTATATTGTACAATTATTATTACTTTAAAAAATGAATTATCAAAATCGGTCCACTAGCGGCGGAATTATGCCGTAACACACATAAAAAAAAACATACAGGCGAATTGAGTACCTCCTTCTTTTGGGAAGTCGGTCAAAAAAGGACCTTTAATACGCCCATCCATGTCAGCTACCTTTCAGTGAAAGTTCGGTCGAAATCGGCCCCGCAGTTTCGGAGATTACCCGGAACATACTCGGCTTTCGGACAGACAGACAAGAAAATCAGCAACGCAAATACAATATCTTCCCGAAATATAGATTTTTTCTTTTGATATTACCTACAGAGACTCCAATTTTATTATATGTGCAAGCTTAAACTTAAATTTATACTTGAATGTATTCAAATTATTCCACAGCGGTTTTTAAATTGCTATAAAATGTAGTGTAATGTTTATTAAAACAGTTAAAAATGCTCGATAGATAACGTGTAAAAAATGCATTTTTTGTATTCACAATTCAAATGCGGGTGTGACGATAACGATTCATATTTTCACTTACATACGTATATAGCAATTAAAATGCTTTTTTTAATGAGTATGCCCTCATGTTCTTTTCTGTTATCATAGTGAAGTTTTCTAACATTAATCTCTTTCAGAGACGAATAGAGGCTTGAACTAAATTAAATAACATGTACTAGTATTTTTTTAATAAAAATGTTCGGATTATAATATTTTCACTTGTTCTATCTAAAGTATTTAAAGAGAGAGCAGTAATTGCTGGATTTTACGCTAAAAACTTACATTGTTTAGTTCTTTTTAATTATAATTCGTCTTATATTTCTATTTTAATTACACTTGAAGGCAATCACTTATTCAATTCTAATTGAATAAAGAATTCAATTAAAAACAACCTCTAAAATTATATAAAACCAAAATATTAACATGAAACCGAGAAAATATGATTGCCAAACACGCAGCGTCCGTGAATTTTTACGTAAACCCGGGGCTGCACTCCGCGACCTTCACCCCGCGCCCCCTGCCTACCCCTTAGCCAATCAATAGCGTTAAAGTTATGCGTCTTTGTGTCGGCAGAAGCTTTGGTACTCGTCATATTAATCCCACGTACTGCGTTGGTTTTAACCTTGTAATAAATACTTGACGAATGGCTACTAAATATTAATACTATAATCGATAACGTTACTAATATTATAAATGCGAAAGTTTAGATGGATGGATGGATGTTTGATGAAATTTGGAATACATGTAGAAGAACACTGGTTACTAAGTATTTTTTTAATTCCGCGCGGACGGAGATGCTTGCAAAAATCTAGTCATATTATTAGAATTTAAGATATGAAATTATAATGTTATCGATTTTTTTATTCCAAAAAGGTTATGGTTTTAAACCAACTGCTGTTATAACAAGTAACATAGCAGTTGGCTTAAGCAGCTTTCAAACATCTATTCTGTTTGGATTCTGATAAATCGGAATCTTCATAAGTTGATTTCGTTTTAGGAATTCTCGTTATAGGAATCGGAAGGAAAAAGAACAAGAACCATTTGTATGAGTCGACTTTAGTTCCTCGTATTTTAAGTAGTGTTTAGATATTTATCCTAACTTAGAATTACATCACATATTTCATTAATTATCCTATATAACATATTTAATGTAGATTATATTTTTAGTATATATTGACAATAATAATCTTTGCATCATTAAACATTTAATTTGATTCATATTCCCATGACAATCTACCCTAATAATTTAGTGAAACTATGCTATACACGTGACTAATAAATCAAATTTATTGTGATAGTGCTTTAGTCGACGATTTAGGATATTGCCTGAATCTTTACATAATCGATCAACGAATATTTTCACTGAAAAACCCAGAGAAAGCCCCCATTTTCCACAAAGACGGAAGCGGTCGCACCTAGCTACAAGCCACACGGTCAAATCCAACACAAAACAGTACCTTTCAGCCCGGCCCGTATTAAAAATATTGATCCACACCTTATACTAAGCTTAAGTTATAGTTACGAAAATATTTATGTTAATAAATTCACTTATCACTTGACACTTAAAGCCGAAGTTATTTATTAAAAAAATTTCAGCGCTTATAACCACCGAAGCTAAAAACGCGAAATCAAAATTTGCAAAACTTACTCCACTGTTTTTCCTTCGTAGGAGAAGGAAAGAGTAGAGTTATTTACTGATTTGTATCGTCACGGTTTTCCTTCCGGGGACGTGTCCGGGCCACGCCGGCTAGGCGACTGGAAGGATCGAACACCGCCCTAGGGGAGGCTGCGTATTAACACTGAAGAATGAACGAATTTCAACCTTATCCCATGCTCATAGAGTTGTTTCTGAAATAACACTGTAAAATTCGAAGTACATTGATTGCTTAAAGTAGAAACGATCTATACCACCTTTACGATAACGAAATTGAACTTTATTTTGTTCATGTTAGAATATCTATTCGAGTGATTGCCTTTGTTTGCAATGAGGTGCGGTCGGAGGGAAAATTGAATACTACCACGGTCGATAGATGGCGTTGTTCTACATAACGCTACGGGTGTTTCATTAGCCTGTGACCGCTGCGGGCTATACCCGAGTATAATTTGCCTGACATCATGCATACTATTCTGAACAATGGTGCTTTCATAATAAACGCTATTATAGAGTAGAGAATGTCGTAATCGTGTTTATTATTTTAACAACGGATTTGTTTGTCTTGTTGACTAATAATGACATCGGTTCTATGTTCATTAGGCTTATTATGGTTTTCAATTGTAAATAAGTTCAAGGAATTTTATAATAAGTCTACGATTGTTTTCCTTAGCCTATAGTGCTTGAGGGCTGTGCATCTAATCATTTTGCAAATGCTCTTAAGCGAAATAATCGCAAGATTACCGTTAAACTCTCTATTTGCCATAACACTTTCAAGACCAAAGTTCTTTACAAAATATAGTAGGAGGTGCAGAGGCTACGAAGGGTGCGATTCATAAATACGAACGTAAAGAATTCAAAAAAATAAATTTTTAGCCAGTACTAGCAATCAACGCAAATATTTCATAAGTTTAACCAACAGATGGCGTACTTTGATTTATCTATACCAGATCAAACAGGTCACCTGTAACATGCAAATATCAAAAGCGTACAAACATAAAGTACTCACAGCGGGGTCCAATTAGAGATATCGGCAAGGTTCAAGTGTTTAGTGTTGGCATTGGAGGCACGCGCTGCCGTAGGAAGCCGACGGAGTCGCTTACTAAATACTAATGAAGGAAGAATAATCGCAAACAATGGGCTGGCACAACCACGCTCGTTATAAACGGGATGTGCAGACATAGCTGTACTCAAGTGCTTGATGACGTCAGTGATAGATACATAATAGACTTCAAAACAAATGAAATCAAACTTTAACCATAAAGGCAATAATAGCAACCGAAAAACATGATCTGTAAGGTGTTCCCCGTTGGGTCGAAAGACCCACCGTTCGAACGACCCAATTGGAAAAAATCTTTGTCGATCGGCCCAACGAAAAACAATCAATTTGTTTATTATTTGGAGAGACTATAAAATAATTTTTGTTTGTTTTTACTTTGTTTTATACAAAATCTCTCAATGTTTTAATGAACGGGGACCAAAGACATAATTGTAATTTATTGTCACATTCTTTATACCAGTTCCACCTACATTGTATCATGGTTTATTCACGTTCATAGCTACGTATAGGGTACGTGAAGCGTTAAACGTAATAGCCATTCCGGCACGTTACTAGTGATGTCCGAGTGCCACGCACTTCGAATTCAGAAACTGACGATATTGCACCTTGTATAATCTATACAAAAGATGTAAAATATTTTACTTATAAGAAAGATTAAATGCGACAATTAATCTTTAAAGCCTAATTTCGAAAAAAAAGTGTCAGAATTTCATTGTAAAAATTCCCCAATTTAGTCTTAAAGACCGACCAGTCGGTAGTCCCATCACTAGTCGGCTTTCGCCGCAATCGTACCCACACGCTCACCGTACCCGTGACGTATCGATCCTCGTTGCTATGGATACCGGTCGCTTCTGACCGCCCAGTCGAATAAAATGCACTTTATGACTACACTTAACTTCACTACTGTTTTTTTATAAGTATTCACTATACTGGGTTTTTACTGTATCTATTTTACGCTGCATGTGTGTTTTTTTTTAATAATAAAAGTTCTGTTTCTCTACATGCACTTTATGTTTGTAAAATAAACAAAGTTGTAACGTTAGGTTACATCTGGCTGGCCAGTCTAGACCAGTTTTTCATCTTGACAGTTTAGATTTAACACCTCTTGATACTGCGTCTACTTTAATTTATAACTCTTTTATAAAACAGCAATTTCTTATCAAATTGAAATGAAATCTTACAATTTGAATATTTTAACAGTGGAAATGGGATATTTACCAAGTTTAATTTAACTTTTGTTATTTATACTAATATTACATAGAGGAATACTTTGTTTGATTGTAATGAAAACTCTCTAGAAAACTCTAGAAAATTCAAAAACTACTTGGCCAATTTCAAAAATTCACCATTCAAAAGCTACATTGTCAGTGAGTAGCATAGGCTATTTTAAAATATTTTTTTTAATTTCACGCGGACGTAGTCGCGAGCAAAAGCTAGTATTCAGATTATAGTAGGGGATAATGATTCTGAAGTAATTAACTAGAAAGTAGGTAAAGGTTACTATAAAATGTGAAAAGTAAACATTTATATGAATGTGAAACATTTCAAGGTAAAGATAACAAAACTGACACATTGCTTACATTCTTTTATTAAAAAGCAATTTTCCTTCTTTTGAATCAGCAAATTATTTGAATACACATTCCTATGACCACATTTATATGGTTAAAAACACTATTTTTGTTTACTTAATTATTGCTACTTTAATAGTAATATCAAATATTAGACTACCGTTATTCCGATAGTCGTTTCGGCACACGGGCTGATAGCGAAGAGCTTCGACCAACCCTCAAGAAGCTCTCGCTAGACAGTTGGATTAAGGGCCCGATTCAAAAGGCGGTTATTTTAGAAACCACACGAATAGTGAGGAGGATCCTGTCTCTGCAGCCCAGACCACTGGTTGCTTGAGTCATCGGATTCCGCAGCCGGTGGTGCTCTATTTTTTATATAATATATTTTATTTTATTTTTATACTCTTGTAAAATGTATTATATAGAGAGTAAGAAATAAAGATATATGGAGACTTTATAATATCAATTACATAATACTTACTTCTGCCTGTAACATCCAAACAAAATTAAAAAAAAAGAACTTTGTTAAAACCAATTTTCTGGAATATGTTTTATTTCTATGCTGAATTCATTAAGTTACCTTATGCAAATTTCCATCCAAATGTTCATGTTTATTATATTAGTATGAAATATTATTTGATTTAGTGCATTAATGCTTAAATAGGTAAAAAATAAAATAAAGGCCTTACCTTTCGATATAAGTCGGTTGGCAATCCATGGGCACCTCAGCGTTATATTTTCACCTGAAATTATGTATTTATCAAACTTTCTATCAGATAAAAACAAATTAATAAATAGTTTGATAAACTGGCAAACAATAAACATTATTTTACAAGATAATGAAAAAAAAAATAACTGTAATAACTAATAATAAAACATACCTATCTGTTATTGGGAGGGGGCGCAAAGCGCGGCGCTCTCAAAGAGATGCGCCAACGCCACCTGCCCCCGCCTACAAAAAAACACAAAAAAAATTGAGACTAACTCACTCTAGTCTTATTGCATACATAAAGCATCTGTTATTACTAGAAATTTTATTTATCACTACATCTATGCCACATTTCAGTGTAATCCATTCAGCTAGACATTCATATAGGAGACACCTAACAAACATCTATCCATCCATATAAACTTTCGCATTTATAATGTTGAGAAGTAAGATAATAAAATTAGTTAGATTTACTGTCACTGATCCTCATGTAAAATAGCATATTTGCATAAAAACCATTGTCATTGGGTTTTGCTCCAATAAAACTATGGTTTCCGCAACTCCATGTCTAGCGTGTATTTTGCGGAATAACAGAACATGGAATCCAGCCAACCTAGCTCTCTGAATAAGCCCAGCAAACATTTTATATTGCTGGGAGCGATCTCAGCATACCAAGATACCTAACCCTGTATTCAGTCACTGCTGGGCAGTGTTGTATGTGTATGTATGGCATATTGTTTTGTTCTAATTTGATTACAATAGCAAGTCTCAACGCTACATATACTTAATCAATATATGAAATTAGTATATTTCCTTTAAAATGTCTTACACATCACCTAAAAAAATGCTTTGGAAAATTATTAGAATTTTAGCATATTTACAGATAGCTTTTATTAATAAAAGTTACTCAACGACTTATTATAATTCGCTCAAACAAAACATCATCTAACTTTAACTTAATACAGGTTGTTAATAAAAATTAAGTGACTTTGACAAGACAAAACAGTTTTGTAGGTAGAAATATATTTTTCACATTAAATATTGCACTAATACATTGGTGAGATTCTCAACAAATATGATATATTACAGTAAAATACAATAGAAATTAATAATAAATAGATAATACTTTACAAATACGATACTGTTACTTAAATTCGTAAAATAATATGCACCGTACATAGTGAATTCAGTAGATAT